TTTTCGATTTTTTGATCACACTCGGCAAGAAAAAAAATGAGTTCACATTTATAACACCTCATCCTCTAAGAACCCTAATTTTTGATTTTTTGATCTAATTACGCTTAAGAATCATTAAGGCATATATGTAAGCATTAACACTTATAGTTTCAGATAGGGTTACTTCGTACAAGAATTTTCCATCACTTAATCAGATAATTCCTCGCAATTTCATTTAAGTAACAGACTAATATATTTTATTTCCCAAAATAAGATAATGATACTGCGCTATTAATCAAGCCACGTTATGCATGTTTGTATGTGTCTTACACTTAAAATGGTGATCATTGTCAGGGGCGGAACCAAGAAATTTGATTAGGAGAGGCCAGATTTTGATGAAATAATCCAACGAAAGAAGATAATATTTTTTGGGGGTTCGGGGGCAATGTCCCCGATTTTTTTTAGAGTAGTTCATTAAAAAAGAAAAAAAAAAAAAGAAGAAGATAAAAAATATGTAATAATTTATATATTTTATGTAAATTTGTATGATTTTAACAATAATATATTATTATTGTAATGATAAATATGAAAAAAGTTTATAAATTTACTTGAAAGAATACAAAAAGGTTAAAAAATTGAAGGGTCAAAACTCATATTTACAAAGGATTGAGGGGGGTTGGGTGCAAAATCTATATTTATATAAATATTACTCAAAATTACTAAAAAAAGAAAATTAAATCTTGGGGGTACACAGGTCCCTTGTCCCTCTTATGTTCCCCATTGATCATTGTAATAGTCTAATAGAATTAATCCCAATGGTTAATTTTATGCTTTGATAACTTGTACTCTCCTCTACTAAGTTAGGGTTGTACCTTAATTACCCATTCCCAAATTAAGTACAACGATTACTACTATCCCAACACTCCTAATCTCACTTAGAAGTAGAAAGTTTGAATCTTGCACACTCCCATAATTCACACACTCTCGAGCTTTATAAATGTCATTTTCTTCATTAATTCTTAAACATCACCATAGAAATCTCTCACAATATCACCATTACACCGGTCGATCCTTTGCAACGAATTAAAACACTCATATAATTCTCAAGCTCAGTTCTTGATCAAGGTTTCCTTCTCCGTTTGGTTACTTCAACCGAGAGACGGAGCGAGACTACTCGAAGAAATTGGTGAATTCTTGTCTGTTTTCTTTCAAGTTCTTAAGGTAAGAATTCGATATTTCTTGCTACACTATGACTCATCACTAATATATTCTTATAATTCTCTAAATATATTGAGTAGAACCGAACACCCCTAAGTCTTACAGTCCAAATGAAATAATGTTGTTTGGTAAAAAATAAGTTATGAATAAACGGAGGGGGTATCATTCCACAAATTAACACGTGCTCGGAAAATTGACGTTTATTATCGAGCTTGACGCTAGTTTTTTCAACCGGATCCGAATAATGTTTTTCATGCATTTTTATGGTTACTTGAGTGTTTCGAAGATCTTATGTTTAAAAGGTAAATTGCTAATTAATGAAAAGGAATTAGATAAATCCTTAAAATGATCGACTATGGAAATGCTACAATTTATTGTCGGGGGTTGTGCTCGAAATTAAAGTAATTATACATATTGTGCCAAGTTAATTATTTTTCATGAAATGTTTGTTACAATCGGAATCTTGCTAAGTCTCTGATCAAGGCTTGTATAGATGTTTTACAGTGTAGGTGCGAGTTCGATCCCGACCGACAAGATTGATCCCACGGCTCCGAAACCCGATCCGACATCTCAAATGGAGGAAGTTTGGATACTATTAACTTATTATCTTCTTGTTGATTTATCTGCTTTAATCAAGCTTATATAATTTAATTAACAAATTATTGAGTTTTATTTTTTAACTTATAGAACAAAATTAAAAAATAAACAAATATTATTTGAACTCTAGACCTCCGTACCCTAATCGCATACACAATTCACGTTATGTTTTCTTTTTGATAAATTACATAATGTATGTTAATTAGGGGTGGAAATCGGACGGAATGGATAGAAAATAGTTTTTTCTTTATTCTTTTTGACAGCAGAATATTTTTATTAACAATTTCTATTTTCTGATAAAGGGCTAAAAAGAAGGCCCAATACCAAGTTTTTTCTTTATTATAATAAAGGGCTATAAAGAGGCTCAAACCTAATTTAAAATTGGCCCAATAGTTTAATTTAGCAACTTTTATTTTTGCAAGTTAAAAAAGGTTATATAATAAATAAAACAAACATAAAAGTTCACAAATAAATTTCTTCCCACCACACACACGGAAAAAAGCATCACTAAAAAAAAAAAAAAAAAGCACTAGAAAACCATGGAAGGTTTCTGGGATGTCAAGAACATAAGTACTGCTACTGGAGTGATTGAAAATCTATGCAACATTGGTGAATTTGCACAAGGCCAATGGAGAAGCTTCACAGGGCAGGAAACACCGGCGGCGCCTGCCCCGCTCGTTCCGTCGGTGTCGGTGCACTTACGGCCGGTTCGGATAACCGGAAATGTGAAGAACGTCGTCATGGAAATGCCCGTTCGTGGGAGGATCGGGGTGAAGAAATCAGCGTGTTTAATTTTCGCCGGAGCCGCCGGTGGAGGCTTCCTCGCTAGCGGATGTGCTCAAGGGTCGCATATGCAGTTGGCGGCAGGGGTACTGTTTATGGCCTTCGGAATCTGGCTAGGGAAGACCTCCGATGAAGCTACGACCATTACCTCAACGACAACCGCCGAACTCTTCACCGACGACGGAAAGTGATCGATCGAGTAGTACTATATCGAACCCCCGTTTATTTGTGTGTTAAGCTGCTATCTATCTATAGTTAATTAGTGATCGAGTAGTATATCGAACCCCTGTTTATTTGTGTGTTAAGCTGCTATCTATCTATAGTTAATTTAAGTTTAACTTTATATTTGTTGTTTAATTTATCATTAATCATTTGCATTGATATATATATATATATATATATATATATATATATATATATATATATATATATGTATATATATATCTATATATATCATAATAGTATACATATCTAATATATATAAAAAAAGAAAAAACATTACATATAATTAAAATTTGTAATACATTAATAATAATAAACCATACCTTAAATAAACACCTATAAAGGTATACTATTTATATATATCTCCATGTGGCATCTACACATAAATGTACCACCATAGGCTGATATGAACATATCCATCACACCTTTAATATGTCTCTATTGTACCATAATGGATAATATAGGAACATTTTACATGTAAACAAAATTTACAA